CTCCTGCCCCTGCTGGGGGCCTGAGAAAGGGTGGGGCCTCAGACTGCGGGGCGGGCGGGCGCCGCGCGGCCCCCTCCCCCATTCTCAAGGCCGAAAATAGGCCCGGCGGCCAGTGAGCGAGCGCTGGGAGGCCTTGAACATCGGGAGGCCCGGACTTGTCCTTAGAGCGCTGAGGTTATGAGTGTGTGTGAGGTGGCGGGGTCGGGTATCCCCAAATCTTAAAAGTAAAAAAAAAAAAAAAAACGAACGTGTTCAGTCCGCGTGTATAAGGAAGATCATGTGCTCCTGCCTACTACCTGGCTATTTATTTATTTTTTTTACCTTCTGGTTTTATGAGATAGCCTGTCTAGCCTGGAACTTCAGAGATCTGCCTGCCTCTTTACCGAGTGCTGGGATTAAAGGCATGCGCCACCGTGTCCGCCTCCTACCCTGCTTTTTAAACATGTCTTCTCAAATGATACAGCTAGGGTGGCTTTTGCAGCTTTTCAATGGGAAGGCAATTCTGGGCTTAAACAGCCTGGCTTGTGTCAGCCATTACTTGGCATGAATTTCTTCCTATGCTGTTTCCATTTTGCAGTTCTTTTAAGCTGTTTCAAAGATTCAAAAGGAGTCTTGTTTTTTCTCCTTTGGATGGGCTTAGGTAAGGTCTCTTCCTGGGTTAATATTGGAGCTGCGTATGTTACACATGTGTTTACATAGTTAATAGTGTCTCAGCCCTGAGTTCTCAGTATTTTACTCTGTCCTTTTCCTGGGCCCATTGCTGTTCTCTCAGGTGCCCCTCCCCCCTTTTTTTTTTTTTTTTTATCTTGAATGTCTTAGTTCTAAATTTCTGCCTCTTGTAGTTTGTCATTCTGATCATTATTTTCCCTTGGCAACTTGGTTTCTTTCTGTTCTTAACTTTGGAAGGCTTGCATACTTTGTGCTCCTGTTTTAAGTGCTGCCTGGTTTTGGTAATTCCCTTTTAGTGTCTTGAGCACTACTTTGGATCCAGGGTGGTGTCTCTCTCTCTTGTCTGTCTCCCTCTCCCTCCCTCCCTCCCTCTCTCTTTCTCCCCCTCTTTTCCTCTCTCTCTCTCCCTCTCTCTCTCTCCCTCCCTCCCTCTCTCTCTCTCCCTCTCTCTCTCTCTCTCACACACACACACCTCTTTCCTGAAAGGTCACCAAAATCATGATTTTTAATACATTTTACTTAGCCTTCTTCAGGTATGGAGTGGGCGGATTTTTGTGTGAAATGGTGGAAGTGTGTGTAAATTGGAAGATTGTAAGAAGCCTTTTGCATGGGCTGGAGAGAGAGCTGCTCTTCCAGAGCTCCTGAGTTCAATCTCCAGCAACCACATAGTCCCTCAAAACCAGCTATAATGAGATCAGATGCCCTCTTCTGGTGTTCAGTCAAACATTCAGGCAGAACACTGTATATATAATAAATGAAATACATCTTAATGAAATAAATCTTTAAAGAAAAAGAAAAAAGCCTTTCACAGAGGACACAAATGAAGCAATATAGGCCTTAGATTTAGAGGAAGAAAGGATTGGTATTTTTAGACTTTTAAGAATGATTGTTGGGCCTGGCTTGGTGGCGCTTGCCTTTAATCCCAGCACTTGGGAGGTGGAGGCAGGCGGATCTCTGTGAGTTCGAGGCCAGCCTGGTCTCCGAGTGCCAGGATAGGCTCCCAAGTTCACAGAGAAACCTTGTCTCGAAAAACCAAAAAAAAAAAAAAAAAAAGATTGTTGGAAGGTACTACAGAAACATTTCTTGGCTCTAAAAAAAGGTTTTTCTGTGGCTTCCTGAATTTACACTTGTTTTTCATAGATTTAGTCTTATCTGTTATTCATTCTCGACCCTGATAGACTTCTTACTTGTATTGAGTAGGTCTTAGGATAGGCTTGATTGAGGGTGGGAAGGGACAGAAGTACATTTGGGTATTTTCTTTACATTTGACATTTGTCTTTTTTTTTTTTTTTCTTCTTCACACTTTGGTGTTTTGTTGAGGAATTGATATAATACTGGTTCTGGAATTCTGTGAGTGTAATCTTTTATCCAACTCCATCTCTTCCATCTGCTTTTACTAACCTTCACTTTTCCCTGTTGTGTGCTTGCTTGTCTTTAATGTTCTGAAAATCTGTCTTGGAGAAAATGTGTTGGAGTGGAAAAAATAAAGCATATACAGCAAGAAGGGCATAGAAAATGAGTAATGCAGTCCAAAAAGCTAGAGCTTGGGGGTTCTTAGTCATGCTGAGGTTGGAACAAGATGAAAAAGAAAACAGGGTTAAATTGAAGAGTAGAGCAGGACTAGGAAAAAAAATGAAGTGCCAGAACAGAGATTGATAGGGAAAGTCAACAGTTTTACAATAAAGATACGAAGTTTGAAGGTTTCTAGACACTTGTAAAGAAAGTATGGAAACAGTTGGAACAGAGAAAAATGGTTTTATGTATTTAGACTATCAAGTTAAAAAACAGACAATATTTAACAAGAGCTAGCCAGACTTGGAGGAGCTGCAAGCTATGTGGTAAACCTTACTGGGAAGAAAACTAAAATAATAAAATCACTGTAGTTGGTAGGAGCTTTGAATATTTGGAATCAAAGAGAATGGAGATGGCTCACCTTCCCCATATGAAGTATAAGCTCATGTATCCACGTTTCCTCTGTTTCTGATCTTGCTTGCCAGTAGTTTGGGTGTGAGACTGCATAGGACATTTGGTTTATGTTACTAGTCAGTTTACCTATTTAGATACCCAAGACTGTTTAATCCATTTCTTGTTTGTTTAAGGTAGCCTAAATACTTATTCTCTTGGGAGGAGTCTTTGAAAATGGACTTTAGGTGCTTCTGATTGATCTATGGTGTTTGTTGTGCCATTTTGAGAACTTGGTTACCAATAGTTATATTCAGAGTGCTTGATGAAGATACCATTTGTGTGTATTGTGTGGCCAGAGAAGAATAAAGGATTAGTGTGGAGAGATTTGAGACAACATGGATTCTTGATTGGTTAGGGTGTAGAAAGGAAAATAAAAGTACAAAGAATGGCTTTAGAATTTGGTGAAAGTATATTGTGAGAAAAGATTTAAAAGTAGGTGGTGATTTAGTGGAAAGGATGAAGTGTGGGGAGGATAAAGGGAGGGTTTTGTTTGCAGACTAGTGGAATGAGGAAACATCATTTTGCTAATGGAGATTCAGTGTGAGACTAATTAAGTATTGAACTAAAGGCTAAGAGAGCCAGGGATGTGGGAGATGTGGTAAGTAGTTAGATTGGGGTCAGGAGCCTGACTGGTGTCTCCCCGCTCCCCCTCAGGAGCGGTGGTGCCCCCCTGGGCACAGGGCCATGTACAACGGGATCGGGCTGCCGACGCCCCGGGGCAGCGGCACCAACGGCTACGTCCAGCGCAACCTGTCCCTGGTGCGGGGCCGCCGTGGTGAGCGGCCTGACTACAAGGGAGAGGAGGAACTGCGGCGCCTGGAGGCTGCCCTGGTGAAGCGGCCTAATCCTGACATCCTGGACCACGAGCGCAAGCGGCGCGTGGAGCTGCGATGCCTCGAGCTGGAGGAGATGATGGAAGAGCAGGGGTGAGGGAATGGGTGGGGAGAAGCCAAGCACTGAGTGAGTGCTTAGTTGGGTGTTAGGTGGGATGTGTGGAAAGAAACTGGAGCAGGTTGACAGAGTCCTAAAAAGGAGTTGTAAGGGAGAAAGAATGAGCTTGAAGAATCAAGAGTCATGGGTCAGTGCATGGTGGGGATGTCAAGGAAACTGTTTGGAGCAGTGATAGCTAAGGGGGTCTGAATTATTTAGCTGAATTTATGAAGGGGAAGGGGGCCAAAAATGTGCTGTATAGGAAAGTAGCATCAGGCAGAAGAGCTAGGTAACCTGATAGGTGTTGTTATTGGAAGGAAGAGAAAGGTAGGTGGATTTAAGGGATTTCGGCTGTGGAAGGTGGCAAAGGCAGAAGATTGGAATTGAAAGAGTGGATATCATGAGCTTGGCAGAGAAGTGAAAATTTGGAAAAGGAGCACATTCAGGTAGAAACCTGTTTAGAGCAGTGGTTTTCAAACTTGAGCAATGGTATCCTTTTATATATTATGCTTTCTTTGAAGTCCCAGGAAATAAAAGATCTATTTGTGTTGAAGTTGGGAAAGGAGCACTGGGAACTATGCCAGCAAGCAAACTGTCCTCTCTTGGCCCCTGAATTGTAGCATGTTTAAAATCCACTGTTCTAGAGAGAATAGTGTAGAAAAGGAAGGAAGGGTCAAGGGGAAAGATAAGGAAAACTTACGGAAATTTTGAGTTACAATACTGTGTGAATGGAGAAGGTAAAAGGACCGTGTTGGAAAAGGAAGCAATTATAAATTGGGACTTGGGAAAACCCCT